CTCGGTTTCCTCTCCCGTCTCTTTCTCTCTCTCTCTCTCTCACACACACACACACTCACTCACTCACTCACTCACTTTTAAAGTCAGTTACATTTGCCTCGGTTTCCTCTCCCGTCTCTTTCTCTCTCTCTCTCTCTCAGCCTTCGCCCCCTCCTCCTGCCAGCGCTCCCGTCTTTATGTCGGGCTTCCCGGAGACCTTTTGAGGTCTCGCCGCTCCTTTTGTTTCTCCGGCTGATTTTTTTTAAATGTATAACTTGATGGGTCTCAACAATACCGGCGGACCTAACCAGCCTAATGTCTCCTGTACTTGTAACTGCAAACGGTCTTTGTTTCAGAGTATGGAGATCAGTAAGTACTTCTTCGATTTATTTTTATTGCTTTTACAGTTCCTTTCGTGTCTCTCTCTCTCTCTCTTTCTCTCTCTCTCTCTCTCAGCCTTCGCCCCCTCCTCCTGCCAGCGCTCCCGTCTTTATGTCGGGCTTCCCGGAGACCTTTTGAGGTCTCGCCGCTCCTTTTGTTTCTCCGGCTGATTTTTTTTAAATGTATAACTTGATGGGTCTCAACAATACCGGCGGACCTAACCAGCCTAATGTCTCCTGTACTTGTAACTGCAAACGGTCTTTGTTTCAGAGTATGGAGATCAGTAAGTACTTCTTCGATTTATTTTTATTGCTTTTACAGTTCCTTTCGTGTCTCTCTCTCTCTCTCTTTCTCTCTCTCTCTCTTTCTCTCTCCCTCTCCCTTTATCCCCTCTTTCTGCCTTTCTCCCTCTCCCCCTCCATTTCTGCTTTTCTCCCTCTCTCTCTCCCCCCCCCTCTCTCTCTGTTTGTCTTTCTGTCTTTCCCCCCCTCTCTCTCATTTTTCTCTCTCCCTACTTTGGGCGATGGGGGCGGAATTTGGATCCAGACAGCGACCTGACCGATCGCCTTGCGTGGTTCCGTTCAGGGAAATGCGATCCAGACTTTCCAAGCGTCTGAAATGCGATCTAGACTTTCCCCGCCGTCCCTCTTCTGCAGCTTCGTCGAGGGGGGGGGGGGAGGTCCGATCCTGCGGCTTTTAACGCGCAAAGAAAACCCTCCGGGCGAACAGTTTTGCCCTTCTTACCAAGAGCCTGAGACTTGGGTGGTTTAAGTTCTCTTACGTCCCACCCCCTCTTCAGCCTTTTTTCCCCTTTCTTGTAACCCACTCCTCTTTTCTCCTACCTCTCCCACCCCTTCCCTCCATTTCCTCCCCTTCAAAAGTTGCGTTTCTTGCAATCCGGGGCACTTCGTTTCCTCTCTCTCTCTCCTTCCCTCTCTCCCTCTTTCTCTCTATTTCTCCCTCCCTCCCTCTTTCTCTCTCTCGGTCGGATAGCGTCTTTCCCAGCAGATAGTTGCGTACCGTATCTGCAGTGGGGCAACGTTCGTCGCTTGCAATCATAAAGCAGGAAACCCGAGTTGGTTTGAGCGCGCGGGAGAGGGAGAAATTTCAGCTCGGATCAAACCCTCCCCGCTTGGTTTGTGTGTGTGTTGCCCTTCAGCTTCGCCGGCGGGGCTGCGGGAGACGGAAGGCAGAGGGGTGGGGGGGGAGAGATGGCGAGAGAGAGGCGAGCAGAGTCGTTCCATTGATCGGCCCGTTCCGTTCGCGCTCCGGAGACCCAAAGGACCGTGGGAACGCGCCGGGGAAGGCTTTCCAGGCTGGTTGTCTGGCTGGGCTGCGCGGCTGAATCTCTCCCCACCCCCTTTACGAGAGGAAAAGGAGCCGAAAACGAGGGAGGTGGGGGTGACTCGATCCTCCCCAGTGAGTTTTGATCGCCCCGGGAACTTTGTTCCCAAGCCAGACGGTAAAACAGCCTGTTCGGGCTATTTAAAGCACACGCTGGATTGGAGGTTCCAACCGGCGAGCTGGGGAGATCTCTTTTCCCAAGACTAGACAGCACCGTCTTTTGGGTTTTATTGTCGCTGCCTCTGGGATTTTTTGTCCCCCCGCCTCCCTAAATTGCCTTCCTGCAATCTGCTGCTCTTCCTGAACTTTGCAGATGGGAGTCCCCTTCCCCTCCAGACCCTTCCCTTCCAGCTGACCTAAACCGTTTTGTATGAATAACTCTTTCACCTTCGCGGATATTTATATGCACCTCCCGCTCTTCTTTTGCAATGATTTCATGCTTTGATTTATGGAAAGAGAAGCCCTTGATTTTTTTAAAAAATTATTATTATTATTATTATTATTATTATTATTATTATTATTATTATTATTATTATTATTATTATTATTATTATTATTATCTTGTTCCTGAAGCTTTAGATTGAATAAGTGACAATTCTGTGGAGGTGAAGCCTCCTTGGCTAAAGACAGTATATCTTTGGCCCCCAACAGTAGAATAGGACTGTGAGAGTTTGTGAGCATAGCCCAGCAGTGTTGGGAACAGAGGACTAAAGCTGACTGATGGTGAGTTGTGGTCTGATCCAATAGGACTTTTTTTAAAAAAAACTTTGCTGGGCTCTGTCACAGTTCTGGCTCCAGAGTTGTGGCGAAGGATACTTATAGCCAGCACATCATGACATGACAGAATAATTGTTTAGCCATTAAGGCATCTCACCAAGGAGTCTCGCGTATGTGTTGAGAATGCAAACTGTTATGTCCAGCAAACCAGAATTTGTGACTATAAATAGTAATCACTCTGTCTGAGAAGTAGATTACAGCTCTGTCTAGCCTGTGGAAAGACTAAGTCAGACAAAGTTAGTCTCCCCCCCCCCCTCCCCAGTGTGCCTGTGCCTGTAAAGATAGCTAAGCAAATATATTGTCACAGAGTTCCCAATATTTAAAGGAATAACATCAATTCTCTTTCCTGCCCACATCTGCATTTTATTCTGTTCTGCAATCATAACAGATCTTTGTTACAGTTCCAAAAAAAAAAAAAAGAGGAAAAAAAGGGGCAGGGGGAATTGGATGAGAGAAGAGCTTTTTAAACATTTTGCTGTTCTGGTGATGGAGAAATTGTTTCCCTCCTATCCATAACTTAGACCTGAGCTCTGTTGATTACAGTGAGACTTCCTATTTTGTTGGCATGTCTGACTTTGCTTTGTAAGCAGAAATCTGTTCTCCAATTCTTCCTTTCTAGTCTGTAATATTATGGACAAAAAATGCCATTCCCTGCCATTTTTAAATTATCCAACACAGTGAGGCATTGGGGAAATGCCCAGAACTGGAATATTTAAAATACTGCATCGTTGTGATGAATTTGGCTGATTGCCTCTTCTCCCCTTTTTTCTGGTGAAGGATCTGCTGTTTAAACTCAATCGATGCAAAAAATACACGCAGTACATGGCCATACCCTCCTTATTTATGAGCCTGCCAGTGCCCTTGATGTATCTACTACATCACAGATTCCCAGACACAGCAGGCTAATAATTATTGTGGAACAGTGTCGTCTTCTCCCCTCTGTCAGAGATGTTAGTGTACAATTATTTCTTCTTTAAAATCAGCTAATTAAAAATCAATGTCCATGGAAAATGTGATTCTTCTAAATATTGCAGCGATTAAAATGGATGTTTCTCCCCTTTGCTGCTAGATAGATAGAGTGTCCCTTTTTTTTTTTTTTGGCTATAGGTCTTGACTGTTTACCTATCCAAAGATTCCCAACACCCGACAATATTTTCTTTGCTAATAAAAATACGTATGGAGCTTCTGTCTACTATGTATTATATCGCCAAATGTTTGCCTCCCTTTTTTTCCCAGGGCTTGTCTATATATTTTTCTTTTCCTTTCAAATTCATCACCTTTATTTTCAGTTCCTTCCTCTCAGCTAATCAGCTGTAATGATGTTTTGGCTGACACAAGGCAGTCTCGTTAATTTAGTTGTCTGCTCTTCCAAATAGACTTCATTTCTCACTCCTGATGAAGTGATACTCAGGGGATTTCGACCTGCAAGGTTAGCATTAAGACGAACAACATTCAATATGTAATATGCATATAAAATGCATGCATTCTTTAGCTGTCAAGACAGGCAGGAATGAAATGGGAGAGGGACTCATTTTTGCAAGCTGATTTTGACATAGTCTTCTTTTTAAAAAAAATGCTTTTGAACAAATAAATTTGCCTGAATCTGTTGAAACTTCCAGACCTCTTAATTAGAGAAGGGGAATATGTGGGCTTGTTCTTATGTGTTTTTATGTGCATTATATTTGAGGTTATTGCAAAATCTACCCCATATGTTGTTGGGGTTGGTTTTTTTTTTTTTAAGAGTAAACCCCATTTCAAATTTCTGAAATCTATTTTCCAAATTTTCCTGTCAAAATGAAAAACGCTCTGAAACAATTTCCCATAGTCTGGTGCCATTCAAATATGTTGAACTGGGAGTGTTGATTGATATGAATTCTACCCCAAGACATAAGATAGGAATCAGATTTAGAAAGCCTCCATTAAAACACTTTTCACTGCCCAGCTTGCAATAAAAGTCACCGTGGAACTACTCCATATTAAATAGGTTCTACTGAATATCACTGGAGTGCTTCACTCTGTGTATATGGATTAATACCCAAATATCAATTCCAGACATAATATGCGAACTAGAATGTATATGACTGTCATCATAATGTTGCACCATAGATATCAAAGCTGAATACAAGTGGCCATGTCTCATGGCGTTCTTCTCCCTCTGTAGCTGAGAAACGAACTTAATTTTTTAGTTGATAGACACTGCAGGGGGGGGGGAGAATATCCCAAAATATCAGTCCCGCCTTCAGCCTTCCATTGAAGGACAAAGTCTTCTAATGACAGACAGCAGGCGTTTCTTGTTGGGAACCATTTATCCTTTTTCCAAATTTTTGCTTGAAGCTTGAATTAGGTTTTCAGGATCCTCTTTTAATGTTGGCAACTAATATGGAAAACTGTTGGGAGTTCGTTTAAGATTGATTTTGGGCAAGAGCACAATAGAGTATTATGTGTATTAAGTCTAATGAAGAGCTTTGGATTTTGCATGTTTATTCTCAGTAGTATTGGCTGAAGCTCAAAAGAAATTTAACCGGAAGTAAGTTTCCTTAAACTCATTTCCGATTTACCAGATATGCCTGTGCTTGCTTTGGATCCAGGCACTAAAACCCTGCCTTGTAATTTAAGATGACCCCTTTTTGAAACGTTAAGCATTACTTGAAATAAACCACCCTTAAAACGTTAACCTTGGTGTTTTAGTCTTTATGACTGAAATAGTAAGCTGATATGGCACTTTTTAAAAATATGCAATGAGCTTTAAAGTCTTTTCTTTGTTCTCTTTGATGTTTGGATTTATTTTTTATACTGATTTTCCCCTCGCTTAATTAATTTAGAATTACTTCCACAATAATTCTATCAATAATTGCTAAGGTTATTAAAATAACCCGTCTACCTTTAACAGTGGCAGAAAGGTCACCTTAAAGCCACTTATGATTTGTTCAATAATATGATCTAATGGCTTCAGCAGGTGGCAGGATTGGCTGACCTTATCTGAGCTAGGAAGCTAAGCAGGGTTGGCCCTGGCTATTCTTTGGATGGGAAAGCGCCAGACAATTCCATCCTGGAAGAAGACAATAGCCATGTTCTTCCATACAGTCCCCAATATTGTGGCCAAGGAAAATGGATGGACATATTGATGCAGCCCACCTCTGTTGAAAGGAGTCCTTTCAACCT